TCAAAACGATGGACCTTATTACGATTTTCCGTCAACCTCGCTCTTGCAGCAAGTGAACGGCTATGCATAACCACGGACGACAATGTGGTCTCGCCCTCCATACGAAGCTGGACGTGGCACGTCTTTCAGCGATCATCAATACAAGTAGACCCACAACACACCTCGCCATGGATTTCGGCTGGTATAAAAATTTAACTGTCTGGTGGATTTGATAGCGCTGTGCGTACCGCTACGGGGATAACGATCGTGTCGTCGTTGTACAGAGCGTGTTCACTTGTCATAGTTGGGCTAGGGACGCATAGAATGTTAAACGCGATACGCCTGGATCGGGATCGAATCCGTTGGATTCGAGACGGAAAGCCAAGTTGCACCGTCAGGGATGCTGTGTCGAGTTATGCGCGGTGCCGCGAGGCTTTTGTTGACGTTCCCGGTGAAAGTCGCCTGTTGATGCGTGAGAACCGGGCATCCTCCGATTCGCTCAGACAGCAACGTCGATGTCCTTGAGTTGCTAGCTACAATAATAAGTCAGGTTGCAACGACGATGCACAAGCGCAAGCACCGGAGAACTGATGACCAAGGAACAGATAAACTTCATACCCACTCGACATCCATCAACGACACCGCCTTCGCGTCTGACTTCGATCCGTCTTTGTACATAGTCGCCCATGAAGCAGACATCGTTAGCGGCCCTCGGGCAGTCGCAGCCGCCCTTGCACTCGAGTGTCCCGAAGCACTTCCTGACGGCGTTGATAAAACCGGTGCTGGTAGTGGGCTTATCCCCTTAGAGCCGCAGCATACCCTTGTCTTCGAAGATGATGACGATGACGGAGAAGGTAGTAATGCCAAAGCACCTCGAAAGCCAAGACCTTCACATCTGCTGGTAGACAGGTACGTCTTTCTCGCCCTCAAGATCTTCCCGCGTGTCCAGTTGTCCGATCGACGGGCATACTGCCAGTCGGAGGGCCAATGTCCCGGCGGTGATAGCTTGCTTTGTGATATGAATGTGATAGGCTTGAGTTCTTTTCTTGATACTTTGCGAACACGTTTGCGCGAACGGCGCTTACTGCGTGTTCGTCGCAATTTGTGATGTTCTCCCGTCGTGTGTTCCCATCCTAAACTTCTTCTCAACAGGTACGACGTTCGACTACTACTCGATGTGCTACCCACGCATAACCACCCTGGACCATCACATGCTGCTGCTACTGCCCGCCGGCCCCTCTCGCCAAGTGGGTGGTCGGACCTGCCTTCAGACACAGAAGACACGTTCTTCTTTTCTCCGGAAGAGGCAGAGGATTATCGTCGTGATAAACGCAGGAAACTTATCGACCATGCTAGGGAGGAGCGTATTCGAGCCATTTTGGCCCGCGATCGCGCGAGAGGAGAAACAATGGGTGAAGACTTGGACGTTTGGGGCGGAAGTGACGAAGAGGTGGGTGTGTGTCCTGCGACGATAATTTCCCTACTCTGCCCTTTGGTATTTAAAAACCACTTCGATTCATGAACATATGGTTATATTACAGCCGGACGAAGCTCAGAAAGAACTCCTCCGTCGAACGGCGGGGCACGTCGTGTCGTCACCCAACCCTGCGCAACTAGAGATGCGCATTCTGGCGAACCATGGTGCAGACAAAAGGTTCGCATTCCTGCGAGGGCGTTGGTCGAGAGCATGGAAGGTCGCAAAGGAACTTGCAAGACAAGAACGACGAGACACGGATGAATCTAAGATAGCAGACAAGCCCTCCGGAAGTTCGTCGCTGCAAGGACTAGTAGCCGGATACGGAGAGAGCGGAGAGAGCGGAGATGACCCCAGCGAAGGTGAGGTAGCGGAAGACGAAGCACGGGTGAACGTTTCGAAATCGGGGGTTCACGAATTTGGTAGTACAGACTCCGACGAGGCAGATCGGCAGAAGGCTAGGAGAGAAAGAGCTAGGGAATGGTCAGTGCGACGACGTGCTGAACAGCTCTCTAATGAAGGGCAAGTGTAGCATTCGTGCTAGCTGAACTCTTCGTCACTGTTATGTGAGTTGAGCTGTACATTAAGCTGTGCGTACTCGTGTCGTGCGGGTGTCAATGGTCAATGTAGTTTCATTGCTTGATGTGCTTTCAACTCGTACGCTCGCTCGCTCCACCTATCAAGAAAAGTGACCGAGCCGATAGCATGCCATTCGGTGTGAGAGTGCCGGGTGTATTCAGGATGTCCCTCCAATGTTGCGAGACATCACCTAGGTTTCTTCTCTGATGACCAGTTGCGACAAGTTCATTTGTCTCTGCATAACATGGATGAACCATCATGGAGTGTCAGCACAAGGAACTTGACAGGCAGACAGTGAATAGTGGGGTCCAGGTCCTTGTTAAACTCTTCTGTGGGCCTCGGTGGCTCTGCCATCTTAGGCACCACTTTTTAGGGGAGATTCTATTTCCACCAGGCTTGCATTAATTATATATTAGCCCTCCAGGCACTCCTGGACACATGGGGCAGAGACTCGTGATGCAGCTGGTTGCAAAATATACAGAAAATATACATGTCCTTTCAGTACTGAAAGCCAGGCAGAAAGAGTGATGAAATGAAAATGTCCTTTCAGTGTGGAAAGTCAGGCAGAAAGAGAGAAATTATACATCTCCTTTCAGTATGGAATGTCAGGTGGAAACAATGCCATTCTTGGCTGTTGAAATACATATAGTAGTGAGGGACATGTAACAGAACACTCATGAACCTGAAGAGCATCAATGCACATTGCATGCCACAGATCATTATTCAGTACCACATTGTGATGTCCTGAATGCATACTCTCAGCATAAAAACTCATAGCAATCATGCCATTGTCACTGGCACCCACATCATTGACATACAAGTGGTGCATGCCACTGTGCATGATTTTCAAGCACATGCCCAACTACATATAGAAGAAAGGGTACTGTAGGCAACTACAGGAAATCAGTAAGTAGAATACTGCTAAAGAATGGTAATCTTACCCTCAGTAGTGAACAATCTACTGAGGGAACAGTGTAATGACTGTGCAGTAAGTATGTTTATTCTGGAAAATTTGCAGGTGGCTGGGCCCACAGCCACTGCAAATGCATGGGTAGCCTGCTGACTAAGTGAAGGGTGCACATGTAAGAAAGTGAGGGTCAGGTGACTTGCAGGCATCAGGAAGTGAAAAAATGGTTTAAACCTGTTTAAACCTGTCACTGACTGGTTGTGACTGTGATTCCATCATTCCCCAACTCTCTGATGGGTTGTGCACAACCCTTGCCTGTTTGTCAGCACTCAATTCAATGCTACTGAAAGACACTGCACATAGGCTGTGTAACCATGCATGAAATAAATGGGTATTCTGCAAAGAGACCCACCCAAATTTGCTAGATGAGTGGTGTTTGGGTGTGGGAAGCAGTCACATGACTGTGACCTTTGCATGGCATTTGTGCTTGGGGCTTGGCTGCATGCATGCAAATGTGCAGTTGCAAAAAAATTGGCATGGGCCACCCTCTCACCTGGGAAAATTTGCTTATCTGGCTGCAAATTTCCTGGTGCTCAGTGACTTAGCACACTTTACAATGAATTTTGCACTTTACAACCTGTTCCCAGAGCAAATTTCCCACTTTTTGTTAGCTAAGAGCATAGATAAACATATGTAGGACATGAACAGAGTTCCTCAGCACCCTCTTGAGCCATCCCACCTGAGCCACAATGGTGTGATGCCCAGCAGGACCCACCCAAATGCTTGACCACCTTCCCTGCCCCCCCACCTCAGGGCAGTATTTCCTTTTAAGGCAGTTCCCATGGCATTGCCACCTGCAAATTTTTCATGCTAAGTGCACTCTAATGGCTTATGTAAGCAGCCAAACATCGCACCAAAAGAAGTGAGAAGACAGGGGAGAACATATCTCCAACACTATGTGCTTCCAGGTGGTCTGCATGATGATGCATAGTGTAAGGAGCAGAAAACCCCACCTTACTGCAAGACCTACCAAGAGCCAAAGGAGACCTATGCATGTGACTGGGGCTCCAGTCTGGTATGATTGGCAGTCACAAAGAGTTTACAGACCTGGGCCTTGTCATATCCATGACTCTCAGACTCAATCCTGGTTCAGTCCAGACCCCTAGCCCCTATCTCTGGTCAAGTCTGGTCCTAGTCTGGCCTAGAAAACCCAACTCCAGCCCTAGATAACCCAACTCCAGCCTAGATAACTCAAGTCTGGTCTTTTACCTCTATCTCTGGTCACTCTGGCCTCCCAGCCTTGTGCTGCTCCACCCTGGTCCTCCCAGGTCCATGTCTAGGTCACCCAGACATAGCTCCAGTCTGTTTTCCATTGCTTGTGCTATGTTTAGTCTAGTCCTTTCATCTGACTTTTGCTTACTGTACAAATCCTGTGTCCAACCCTGGTTATGCCAGTTACCTGGACTTAGACTATTAGTCTCAGCACAGCCTCTGTGGCTGTCCTACCTTGCTAATCCTCTCTTACCAACAAGTCCAGCTCTATGTTCATTACCCTGGACCAGCCTCACATATTTATCCCATGTACATACTTCATAGCACTCCAGTCAGAATATGTAAAGTTGTAGTTGGGATGTCTCAAGCTCATGCACACAAAATGTACCATATGGTATTTGCACAGTAAGATGTGGAGACAAAAAAAGATATCTATCTAAAATTTTCGAGACAACATTTATATATGAGGAGGTATGCAATACTGAGGTATCGCATACACATACTAAGTAGCTCCTATTTTTGGGGCATAACCCCTAACACCCTCCCATGCAGAGCTGACCCAGGCTCAGAAAGCAAAGAAATAATGGGAAAAGAAAGAGATGAGGAGAAAAGAAAAAAGACAATTGCACAAAGGTTAGGCTTCACAAACTAATACTTTGAGGGTTAGGCCTCAAAGTCCAAATGCAGAGAGGGGGTGTTGAACCCAATCCTTTAATCAGGGAGTTGAGTCTCCAGAGGGAACACTCCCTCACATTTGTGACCTATCCTCATCCTTGAACAGGTTGTCAGTCATTTCACCCTCCTCAGGCTCAGAGTCTTTAGCAGGGGGGTTTCCCCTGACAGTGGATGCTCCCCCACAAGGACAGTGGGGAAGGTTTTAGATAAATGCTGCAGAGGCAAATGTGGAGATGATCTGCTGATCATCAGCCCATAACCAATGGCTTGAGCCTGATGCTCATACCACTCCCTTGATCTGACATCGCTTGGGGGGCAAGGTTTGGTGAGAGCCTCCCTCAGGGGCTCAATTTTTGCCATAACCTGAGGGTTATTCTCCCCTCCATTTGCAATGATGCTGTTGACATACTCTTGACTGGCTTGTCGAGCCCATTGTAGCATGTCATCAGCATCATATGCACTGACCCCATTAGCAGTGAGATATGCTGTGATTGAGGCCCTATTGACTGAGGCAGTGAACTCACCATCCCAGGGATGTGATGCACCTTCAACTGGGCTGACTTCTGCCCAGTCAAGGAGGGACCAATATCATCCCCTTACTGTGAGTAGGCAAGTCAACTCATGCATCCAGAAATTTCAAGCCCTATGGCTCTGGGGAACTGGTACCAGGTGCTCATAGAGGAGGAACCCTTGGATAGTGTGCAGAGACAGAGGATTGGTCTCTGTGTTGGAGTCATCTGGCCTGCTAGATGTCCCCAGTACCCCTGGGAGCATGGCCATGAGTATGGACTCACCATCTTCACCCCAGTGATGGTGCCTCTGTTCTTTGTTGATGAACTCCCTCCAAGCTTTGACAGAGCTGTTGAGGGGAGGGGCATTTGGTGGTAGCTTGGGAATGCCCCTAGACTTCCCACCTGAGGGCTTGGCCCCTTTTTCCTTGCAAGGAGGTTGTGTCCTTGTGGAGGACTGAGCTTGGAAGCTTGGCATGGGCCTTTGTTCAGAGACCTGTTGAGTCTCATGCAGTTGATGAGCACAGGGGTAGGGGTTGAACCTACATTGGGCACTGGAGTTGAGCCCAAAGGAGCATCTGCTATCCACTCCTGCAGCACTGGAGCACCTCCAGAGGGGCCAGACATAGGTGGGGGTATCCCCACAATGGATGCTTGTCCCTCCTCCCCTTGGGGTTGGGCTGCCATCCCCTTTTCTTTGAGTGCCTCTCTCCCCTCATGAGATTTCTTGGAAGACCATGCAGGGGGCTTCCATTCACTCAATGCAAGGTTGATGACCTCATTCAACCCCAACTTGCATCTTTTCCACAAGTTGAGGTAAGTTATGAGGTCCTGTGCCTTTCAGATGCAGGGAGCCTTATCCTCTGGCTCCTGTAATGCTCTTGCATAGAGCTTGTGGATATCATCTGTGGTGTTGAAGAGGGAAACAGGCCCCAGGATGCCTCCTTCAAACCATATGGCCCAGCAATATGGTCTCTTGCCCACCAGGACCAGTGGGACAACATGCAGCCTGAGGTTGCACTTTACACTGTCAATCATTTTGCCCTCATAGGCATAGAGATTGTTGTTGATCCTCATGAAGAGGATTTTATTCTTACTGTGTGAGCCTTTGCCTACACTAAGCACACAATGGGGCCATTCTGTCCCATTGAACTCAGGGAACATTGTTCCCTGTTGTGGGAATGGAGGGTGCACCCTCATCCAGAGTGATTTGGACATCACTAGGGATGTCTGGGAAGCTGACAGCATGGTTGGTCATCATCACATCCTCTGTAGGAGGATGGTGAGGCCATCTGTGCTGCAACAAGGGTTGCTCCCTTGAAACATGAGAACTAGCAGGCTTTGCCTGCACCTCCCCCCTGAAACAAACATTGCAGCAGGGAGGGTTGTCTGGGACATCAAGGGACCAGCCCCAGGCTGGTTGAGGATGTGGTGGTCAGGACCACCAAGGGACACAACCCATGGTTTGAAATTGCATGCCTCCTGCTCAACTGATGTGGGAGCTGGGCATGTACAATGGAGTTTGTCAATCTTGTCTTGCAGGTGACAAATCTCATTATCATGGTTGTTGAGGTCATCCTCAAGGTATGCAATGCAACAATGCATGCAGCTTTGTCTGCAAGGTTGAATATTGCAGGAGTGAGGCCTGCTTTGGAGAGGGCCATGCCATGGGAGACATGCAATGCATAAGCATTGCATGTCATGCAACTGGGATCATGATGATGGATAAATGGCAGTTGTGGGTGGCACACCCAGAAGGGTCCTTGAGGGTGTTTGTTGTGATGACCATCACACTCTTGAGACAAGGTGCATGATGATGCAATGGATGGGGAGTGAGCATGCTTCTGGCCACTGCTGACCATATGCATGCTGCACTGAGCAGTGGGGGATGGTGAGTGAGGAGCCTTGCCATCAGGTCATGCACCTCAACATGCAGAGAGTTCATCATGATTGCACATGGCTGACTCCCTGTGAGAATGGCATGGGGATGGCAGGGGGGAGCATGAGCTCTGGGTGCTGTGATGGTTATTGCAGGAAGACATTCTTGGTGGTGTTGTACAGAGGTGGTGCTACAAGGTGGTAGTGGTACATGTGAGGAAAACAGAAGAGGAAAATGGAAGGCATGAGGCATAATTAAAAACTTAAGTAATACTCAACATAGAAAAAAAAAGCATGTGAACAAGGAGTGATCAGTGGGTGGCAATGTTATACAGTGAGGGACAAAAGTGTTGCAATGTCTGTGAGGTGTGATTTTCTGCCAATGTAGCTCAGGCTATTCTGCACAGATACTCATGATACCTATGCCATTGGAAAGGGGTGACTCTAAGCTTTCCAGAGCACTAGTGTTCAGTCCAAACAAAGCATTACATGCTGAGATACACCCTATTCTTTCTGAAAAGTGCATTGCAATGCTTTTGTCCCTGACTGGTGAAATAGTGAAAAGTGACCTTTTGATGGGATTGAGGGCATGAAGGATGGGAAAATATGATTACATAATAGACCACATGATCTTAGAGATGATTTGTCAGCATGTAAATAATGACAATGACAAACATTGGACTTGTACCATTGACCCTCCTTCTTTTACTGCAACTCATGAAATCATCTCTCTAGCTCAAATGGTCATTTTGTCAAGGAATTCTTATCAAATACTGGTGGACACCACAGTGCCATCAGTATAACATGCTCTCAGAACCATCAGTCCCTTAAAAACCTGCTGTCAGTCATTCCCTGGACTGTTTCCCCCCACATGCCTGATGTGTTCTGGGACTAATCAGTACTTGGAAGGCTGAGAATGTTTTGGAGGTCAATCTGGCACTTCAGAACATGATGGATAAACCAGTCCCCTCTCAACCAATGTATTTCTGGCACAGGGACAGTGGTATGGAAGTTGGGGCAAGACAAAATCCTCTTTACCCCTGGGTGTCATCAGAAGGATATGCTACTGAACTGCCATGGAGCTGACTCCTGTGCTTCCATCTGGCCCTGCATATTGCCTTTGGTGACATATGACCAAATAATCCTTCCCCAGTCATCTACAGTTCAAATCAGAGCAAGGTCTAGTGAACCCTCTTATGGTGCCCAGAGCACAAGGAGGGTTTGTCTCACCCCAACTTCCATACCACTGTCCCTGTGCCAGAAATGCATTGGTTGAGAGGGGACTGGTTTATCCATCATGTTCTGAAGTGCCAGATTGACCTCCAAAACATTCTCAGCCTTCCAAGTACTGATTAGTCCCAGAACACATCAGGCATGTGGGGGGAAACAGTCCAGGGAATGACTGACAGCAGGTTTTTAAGGGACTGATGGTTCTGAGAGCATGTTATACTGATGGCACTGTGGTGTCCACCAGTATTTGATAAGAATTCCTTGACAAAATGACCATTTGAGCTAGAGAGATGATTTCATGAGTTGCAGTAAAAGAAGGAGGGTCAATGGTACAAGTCCAATGTTTGTCATTGTCATTATTTACATGCTGACAAATCATCTCTAAGATCATGTGGTCTATTATGTAATCATATTTTCCCATCCTTCATGCCCTCAATCCCATCAAAAGGTCACTTTTCACTATTTCACCAGTCAGGGACAAAAGCATTGCAATGCACTTTTCAGAAAGAATAGGGTGTATCTCAGCATGTAATGCTTTGTTTGGACTGAACCTTAGTGCTCTGGAAAGCTTAGAGTCACCCCTTTCCAATGGCATAGGTATCATGAGTATCTGTGCAGAATAGCCTGAGCTACATTGGCAGCAAATCACACCTCACAGACATTGCAACACTTTTGTCCCTCACTGTACTATCTACCTTGGACAGAATGTGGTGTTCAGTTATTTTTAGGCTTTTTTGATCTTTATCTTTTTTATGTTATTTTATTTTATTATTATTTTTATTTGACTTTGTTTTTTCTCTGAGTCTGTTTGGTTCCATTAGTAGTACACAACTACTTGTAGCCACTAAGTGGCTACTATGCATTTGTGTGTATCTGGTGCCTTGCAAGGCAGCTGGTGTACATTCCATATGCCTTGAAGTTTGAGGTACCTGTCTAGGGCCTCAAGCTTCTTGCAGTGGGATGTTGGTTCCCATGTGCAGTCTCCCAGATTCCACTTGACAAGGACTTCTACCTTGTTATCAGACCACCAGTGGGTGAGTACCTCATCCACTATCCATTCATCATCATCAGTCATACTGACATTGTAGAAGGCATGTGCATCACATCTTGGAAACAGTAAGTTGTCATTTGGCTTGTACTTGCACAGAAGCCCAATGTGAAACATTGGGTGTATGCATCTTGTGTTTAGTTTCTCTGGTAGCTTGAGCATATATGTGTCATTCACACCATCACAGCACAGAACCTTCATCAGCCCAATGAATCTTGGTATGAGCTTACAAGCTTGTCCTTTGGGCATGGTCAGGTTCTTTGTGGAGAGATACACCAAGTCTCCAACTCAAAGCTGAGTTCCTTCTGCTTGTTTCTTATTGGCATGGTATGTTGTCATGACCATGACACCAACATAAGCCCCTAACACCTACTCCACCCTCTTCCAACATGTTCCTGTGCTTCTCTGCCCTCTTCTGACACATTCCCATGCTCCTCTGACCCTCCCAACACCTCTCTAAGGTCCCCTGTCCATACTCTGACCAATTCCACCCACCTCCACTCTCAGGCCAGTCACATGAAGGCCAGACCTCCACCTGCGCCTCCTCCAAGACCTTGGTCAGCTTGTTGGCATGTTGGACTTGCAGCCCTGCATCCCAGATAGGGGTCCACCCTTGTGTCAGTTTTTTCTCTATTCTTCCACTCCTTTGGTATTTACCCTCTCTCCCTTGTTGTAGTAGTTTCCTTGTCTCAGTTAAGGTCCCTGTCATCCCTACCCTCTATTCCTTGTGTCAGAGGGACTGCTAACCTGTTATATGCTTATTGGTTTGCATTTTACACTGCACTGCCCTTGACATATGTTGTATATAAGGCCACATAGTACTCCAATGTAATCAGTACAAATATTGAATAAAGTCCCCACCTTTGACTCCCTCTCAGTTCCCTCCAGAGTTCTGTCTCCACTCCCTCTGAGTCCACTCCACCTCTGAAATACAAGGGCTGAGCTCATGCAAGGGGGCAGCACACTAGCTGAACCTGACACCCTCTCATCCAACCTCTGACCTCAGACTCCAAACTCTGCCTCTGAAACTTTCCTCCATGCCCCTCTGCTCACTGTTCATTGAATATCTTGCCACCCTGTGGTCAGATTCACTTCAGACTTTGACTGCTGTACTCCACAGCCCAACCCACTCCTACTCTACCCTAAAAGGAAGTCAGGGGTGTTGTATGACTCTGACATACATCTGCACTATCCTACTCTCAATTATGGCATCATGTGCCATCTCTAAATTTTCTAGTGCTTGTCAGATGAATGTCCTTACTCCTGGTGATGACATAGTCATCCCTTTCTTGATGCATTGCATCATTATGGGCATATGTCTGTGGTTCAGTTCAAATGGGGCAAACCCCATAGAGCTGTTGATGCTTGAGTTTATTGCAAACTTGACCATTGGCAGCTTCAACACCCTGTCCCTCTGGTCTGGACAGACCATTGACTGTAGCATCTGTGCTACATTGCATATGGCTCATTCAGATGTGCTGTCCATCTGTGGGTGAAATGCAGGTGACATTAGGAGCTTTGCTCCTAGCAT